GCATACACGTAGGCTACCAGAAGGCTTGGCATTCATGCGCGAGCGAGGCGTCGAGACGGGGTTACGTATATAGATACACGCTGTTTGCCCGATCGACCGTGAATCCAGCCGGGCGGGATTCCATTTAAGGCCGTCGTCATCGAGTATATCTCAGATAGGGGTTATCATCACGACCGCACGTAAGCTTGCGACCTTCCCTCCTTGGCATTGGCTGCCCGCGATCAATTAGACATCACGGGAAAACCCCCCCTGGAGCAGAAGAAGCTTCTAGATGCGCGACTGCGGCGGTTTAGATTCGGTTTCATCAGCTCCGGGGGTTATTATCGACTGGACCCGAGTCGGAGCGACGGCGCTGGAGAATTAAATAATGCCGGAGAGAAAAACCTCCCAAAAGTCAATAATGCCAGGATGGCCGGTAGCACAGCGTGATGCAGAGCTGGCAATACTCATCAGCTTCTCGCGCGAGAAGGTCTGGAGCTTTTTGCTGTTCGATGCCACACGAGTTCACCGCCCTCAGGCACAGCTTCGCGACGTCGGGACTTGACAAGGCCAACAGGTGATGGGGCCATGGATGCACATATATACGAGAAGTTGATATATATACCTACCTACCTACTTAAGAAGCTGAAAGGTCAAGGCGCCACCGCAAAGTCAAGCCGGCCCGAAGACGCCACACGAGTTCAAGACCTCGGCTCTCTTCTGACCGGGAGCTCATAGCTCATGACAACAATCAACGTGACCCCATGTGTTTTCCGTAAATACAATCAAAATGGCAATCCCGGCATAATACCATCAAAGCTATGCCAACAAAAGACCATTTCTGTATGACGCCGCCATGCGTCAGGGAATGAGAAGACAGGCTGCCAAACCGACCTCGTATATGACAGCATGCATAGGGCTGATCAATAGGAGCCTCGGCTATAGAAAGCTGCCACGAGTCGTCAACAGAGACGGAACGCCCAGGACCATCCCCTGCTGAAAATACTGGGCAGGTCCCCGGACGTATCCTCCACCGCTTCTCGCCTCGGTCCCGACTCCGAGTCCTATTGGGTATCACGTCCGAGTCCCACGGTTCTCCCAATACCACGCTCGGCGCCCCCTCCCATCCATACCTTAAGTAAAGGATATTCGAGTCCCGCGCCGCGGGGGATGAATAGTCGACGCTGTGTCTTCCCCGCGAAGACCGTCGCAAATTAAGCGACGCAGCGAACACCGTCGCCGATATTACCTGCCCACCCTCCCGCCGACTTGGGACTTGAGGGGGAAACAATAACTCCCTCGCACCAGGGCCGTCACAAACGCTGTGCCACCGCATCTATACAGCCGAGGGCACACTCAGAGCCAAACCATCGTGCCATCCCACCGGAAAAACAGCTACCAAGCAGGAAAGGGGGGATGACGGGATGAACGGCACAAAGCCCTGCGTAGATATTACCCATCTATACAGTAGATAGATAGAGTAGCCAGCACAAGAACCAGCATCACTACAACGTGATAAGAACTAGACAGTATAATCCCCCTCGACACAAGACCCCCAACGTAAAAGCAAGCCAGCAAAACAAAGCAAAGAAATACAGGTAAAAGAAAAAGCCAACACACCCACAAAGCGGTGATCACAGATAAATCCGCAACGAATTCCTACAACAACCACACCGACAAGAAACAACACTCATGACAGAAACCCCCCTCCCCCCCAAAGAAACACTCCCCCCAAAAAGAAACCTATTAAAAACCAAAAAAAACAAAAACAAAAAAATAAATAAAATAAAAACAGTCATAGACCCAAAAAAGCAATGACGCGGCACAGCAAACCCAAATGTCGGCCCGGCTAGCTAATTTGTAATAAGCAGCAGCAGCAGAAACAGGCAAGTCTCCCCCGAAACAACCCCTCGATCAGCAGCGGTCGTCAGAATTTGGTTATTTTTTTCTCGGATGCTACCGTGCCTTGTGGGTAACTCAGTATTCCGTATATATAGATAGTATTACAAGGTATCTAGGTAGATAGAGGCTGGGTCGAGAAATGGAATACGTCTTGGTACGTCTTGTTGGTACGTCTTGTTGGTTATTTGTACGTCCTCGGCGGGAACTTGTGATTGATATCCCACACCTGAATAGGTAAATATCTAGCTTTTTAGAATGGACGTCGTAACATGTAGTTTGACAGGTCCCGTAATCAGTGATTGATTAATTGATTGATTGATTGTTTGTTTATTTGACTGATTGATTGATCGTGTACAGTCACGCCAGACAAGATCCAAATATACCGATACGGCCGAAAGGACAGGTCCCTCCACCTCGGATTCGGGTTCGCAGGTTTCTTAGGATTCACAGTGTACCGTAACCCCCCGATTCCCGACTAAGTCTAGAATCGCGCAATGGCCGAGGCTGTGTTGCTCGTTGACAAAACCACGGCATCATCGCGCCAGGGGTGTAACGCATAGCATACCCAATACCATACAAAAAAAGCCCAGTCACGCGTGAACGCGGAAGTGTGCAACGGCAGTAAAAGAACAGAAATCCGAATTTATTTGTAAAAAAAAAGACCAAAAAAAGACCAAAAAAAACCAGAAACCACCCCCCCAAAAAAGAAACTCCCCGTTCCATTGTATTGAGATCCAACGCTATTCCATGCACCGTTGTTTTCCCGAGATGATCCCTTCGTGGACTTAACCGCCAGCCACTCCTCCATTAAATTCAACCGCCTCCGGGGGTATACAGTAATAAGAAGAACAATTAAGGAGCCGGGCGCCGGAAGGGGTGGGCTTCGGTATTAAGGACGAATTCGTCCAGGTTTATCAGATTCGGCGATGAGAACGTCAGGTAGAGATACCGCAGAGTCTCAGCCAACCAGAAACTCTGACAAATGATTAAAGTGAGTCGACGATCATAAAAGCGACGCATACGAAAAATCAACATGGGGAGGGGGGGAACTACTGACCTCCATTGAATCCGCCTTGACCGTGTCGGTCACCCTGACGGACTGGATCGACGAAAACGCCAGGTCCGTCTCGGTCGCATTGCGGATCGCCTGGAACATGTCCCAGGCCATATCCTGGTACGCCGCGTTACCGGTGATACGGTACATGTAGAAGACGCTCTCGAGCGCCTCCGGCCTGAGGAGATAACGGGGGTCCCGCGTGTTGATGAAGCCCGGCTTCAGGGTCGGGTCGCCGACGATCTCCCATTGCTCCTGGTCCCACGCGCACGGCTCCAAGCTATCGCAAGGGATCAGGTCGAAGACCTCGGGCATGATGCCAGACGGCATCGCGTTGTACGCCCACACGCAGCCCTTGGTGACCCTCTCCCCGATGGCCACGTGCTCCGGGATCTGGAATATCCTCCCACCTAGCCCGAACATCCCGCCCACAAAGCATGACAGATGCTGCGCTTCGGCGCTGAGTTTCGGGCCCAGGTCTCCGACGTAGCTGTTGCCCGGAAACAGAATGTCCGCCTGGTCGGGTAGTTTCGGGCGGAACAAGATGTTCTTAATCGCCGTATCCATCGCATCGCGGTACATCTTCTCATAGACCGGCTCGAGGCCGCCGAGTATAACGAATGTCTTGGGCAGATACTCGTACAGACTATCGGCGAGCGCGCCTAGCGTGAAAGCGTCCTCGTCGCCCAGTGCCTCGTCCCGCAAGTCGAGATAGGTCGGCCACATCCCCGGAAGCATCGTCTTGTTCTGCCATTCGTCTAGAACCTGCGTGACCCTATTAATCGCGTCGTAATATTTATTGTCGCCGGTCAGTTGCGACAGGCGAGTAAATTCCAGGGACGAAGAAGCAACGGCGGCCGAGGGGTCGTGGTTCCCCGCCACTTGTTTGCCTGTTTTCGCATCCTTGAAGTCCAGCCAGAAGCCCGGCATGCGATTCGGGGTGTCGTAGGCCATATAGAGCATGTCTCCAAGCTCGACGGCCTTCTCCAGCAACGCCGTCTCCCTGCTCAGGTCGTAGGCGCCAAGCAAGCCACCGAGGTGCCTGATGGTGGTCTCGAAGTAGTTGCAGGACGTGTCCTTTGATCTGGAGTAGTCTCTTACGACGGCAGCAGCGACGGCCTCGTGGAACTCGTCCTCGAGATCCATTATCCAAAGCGTCGACAGGGAATCGATGAGCGTAGCCCCCCACCCGCCAAAACCGGGCTCGTTGTATCCGCCTCCCGACACGGGCTTGACCTCGTCGTATCCAAACCCGGCGGTTTTATAGGCGTTCCAGCTCTTCAGAAATGCCTCTTTCACCTCACCACGCCTCGATGCCAATACCGCCTCCCGCGCAAGGCCCTCCGGGCTCTTATCTTCGCTGAACGCATATTGGACCGGTGGTAGCGAGAGAGGCTGACCCGTCGGCAGGGGCGTGTATTCGGAGACCGGATAGAAGAGTTTCTGCTTGGACCAGTCGTAACTATCATGGACGTAGATGAAGCCCCAGAGCACGTCGTGCTTCTCGGGAATGAGGCCGACAAGGAGGTACAACGCAAGGAGCAGCAGCAGGGCAGGGATAAGCCGTGACTTGCGGCGGACGATCCGGATCATGGCGTTGTCAGGCTGCTGGAGGAACTGCCACGCGACATCTTCTGCGAGCATGGACAGAGACCGCGGGGGGCGACAGGGCCGCAGAGGCCCTCCTGGGGTGGGTTGTGGAATCCCTTTCCTCCCGGTGCCGCGCGATCACCAGGTACTGTTGACAGTACCTACTGGGCTAGATTATGTTGCGAAGGGAGGGGACATCGGCGCATTGAGAACGCGGGGCGTGTGTGTATTACTATTATTAGGTATTACTTAACGAGTGGGAGGGTAAAGGAGGAAATATAAACCAATTCGCACAAATGCAAAAGGCAGATAGAGAGTGTTCCGAACAAGGTCGTGATGTGAAACGAACCGGGGAGCGTTCGCGACATAACCGGATCCGTATTTTTGCGGGATTACTAAGGACCCATCTCGGAACTCGGCACTCAGGCCCTTGTCGATATGGCGCCAGTAATCGCCCGGAGCTGTCAAGTGGAGCGGGCGAATGGTCTAGGGGTATGATACTCCCTTCGCACAGTCTCAGTCAAGACTCAGACAACGTGGTTTGGGAGGGGTCCGGGGTTCAATTCCCCGTTCGTCCAGATATCAATCGTTTTTTTGCCAGAGTACCATAGGTAAATTAACAACCCAACGTTGCCAAGGCCTCAATGAATGAATTGGGCAATACCTATTTTTGACACCGGCGTTTGGCACTTGCAGACCCGGCTCTTCAGACTCGGAATTCGGGAAACGTCTCCCATGCCAATCACGGCCACAACCGTTTTCCTATACAGAAACAAATCTCGCGATTGTTCTATTTTTATCCCGGCAGCTCTACCGTATAATCACGACTGGAGCCGTTGATTCAGGTGGGCAGCAACCTGATGCCTTTCTTGGTTTAGATATATTTGCGGTGCCATGTCGCATACCTCCCAGGCTTTCGACAAGATAGTCTTCCCCATGGACATCAGATCATGTCCCTGTTTCGTAACTGAATACATCATCTTGACACGCGATATATACGTTGATCGAATGCATATGATTATATGTATCCGACTAACTATATGTCTAGATAATCAAGTACTCAGCGTGCATTTGTGGCAGATTCAGCAGCACCACGATGCCAGAGACGCTGCCCGCCATCTACGTAATCACGGCAATTGGGTGAGACCCAGGGGATGGGCTAGACACGCCGGGATGGCAATCGTAGACTCGCCTATACGCTGAAAAGCCGGGGTATATCCAAAACTATGCTAATGCACCATATATACACCAATGTATCATCCCAGCCTTCATCCAGCCGAGGACGTAGCCTCCGAACGCCTATGCTTGCCTCTCCCTCAACCAGTTAACCACAATCCCGTAGTGCTCCATGCTAGGGAAATAACGCCGAGTCAAAGCCAATGCCTGAAAAAAAAAATCAATTTGACGCTCCCCTGCCCAGAGCTTGAATCCGCTCCAACCGTACCACCCAAGTCGACCCGTATATTAGGAGAACCCGGGGAATAGAATCAATGCAGCACGCTTCCCTGCGGGGAGGTTAGGTGGCTCGGCATTATAGTATTATCTATCGGAGAAATGCTCACATAGAGAGCGCTCATCATCGCTGTCTGTCTCATCCAGTATTATCGGCGTGACCAGTTGCTGCATACGCTCCCGCGTGGTACCTCCCCCGCTGGGCGTTTGCCCGCTGGATCGTGTCTGCAAGTGAATCGAGGTGAGCGGCTCTGCTGTGGCGGACGACGGCCGTTGCGTGGATTGAGCCTTGGTCGGATCCCTACTCAACAGCCATCGCCATCTGCTGACCTGGAAGGTGCCGCGCGATCTTAGCTTTCGGGTGTTGAGCTCTCTTCGCACCATGGAATTCGTAATTTTAGGACAGTGACCCCAGGGGTACATCGACTCCTTGCAGAGGGGGCACAGAGAGCTCATCTCGCTCAAGAACTGATCGATGCATTCGGGGTGGAATATATGGCCACAGGATATCTCGCGTATAATTGTCACCTTCGATTCGAAATCGTCTAAACAAATCAAACAGGTAGGTTGGTAGTCGAGGCGGTCGCCATATCTTCCGCGGTTTTGAATTAAGGACGGAGAATCGGAGTCGGAAGACGTCTTGTATGCGGGCTGTGGCGGTTGTGAAGCCGGTGCTGAGTCACCAGGAGGATTGTAGTTATATGTAAATAAAGGGTAGGTTTGAATGTGAGAAAGCGGTACCGTTAACCGTTTGATGCCCAATGCCTCCAAGTTTACCTCGCCGTTCATTACCCGGCGTCGTAGCAAGGCCCGTCGGCGATTCTGAACATAATGCATAAGTAATGATGTCCCACCTATGACACTCAGAAGTACAGCAAGAATGATCAGCACAAAGGCCCAGATTGCCAAAAGTGCAGGGTCGGGCGACACGGACAACTGTGTCCAGACTCGCACGTAATCTCCAGGATTTGGCGAATATGTGTCGTTGATCTGGTCGGCGAGAGGCACCTCGGATACGCTACCAGAATATAAACTTATTTGCTGCATCATGCGTGCTCCCGAGCCGCTGGAAATGGCGTAGACAGGAAAATGGTTCTTCAACTTCCAGCCTCCTCCGTCGTCCAGTTCCCATAGATCGGAGTGGGCATCGGGCGGCTGGCCGTCGGCATCGTCTGGACGGTACACAAGCATGGCACGCAAAGGATCTACAGTTGCAGCCGCCATGAAGGCCTTAGTACAGTTGACGTTGATCCATGGTACTAGAGCGACGAGAATGTAGTCATTCGGCGGAAGGTCGACTTTTCTGGTGGCATTTGCGGGAATATACTGGCCCGCAATATGATTACACGAGTCGCCAAAGGGTAGGTCGGGTACGTATAATAAACCCTCGATGTTTCCTTTGGTTGTGAAGACATAGTTGGTGGAGAGAGTAGTGATGTTGTTAAGAATCGTTTCCGAATAGGCTAGCTTGTCCTGATCAAGATGACGGTTAGGGTCATGGGAGATTGGCAGAGCGTCTCTTAGAACATACCGAAAGAGCAGTGAGGTTTCTGACAACGTTGCTAGGGAGGTGATAGCCATGAGACAACTTGGGATTGGTGAACAACAGACTACAGTTGAGTTAGCGGGGTTATATGTAACTGATAGAGGAGAGACGTCAAGTGAGACAATGGGAAGTAGCCGGGCAGCCGTGGCGGCTTAAACGATTATTCTGGGTGTGATGAAAAAGCCATGCCGGTCAGCTACGTCAATCGGATGTTCTTGTTCTTCGCGAGGCTGCCGTCTCCCATGAACATGTAGCGGAGTGTGGCATGAGGCCTTGGCGCTGACGACATCGATATCGACATCGACATCGTCTCAATAGCTAGCACCCGTCTATGCTACGAGCCCATTTACTAGATAATTATAAGGCCAGGTTCATGGGGCGAGTGAGTTGCAGCCAAGCTTTCCCAAGACATCCGACGACGGGTAGCTGTAGATTTGACAGGGACAGCTCGTTGGAGGCAAAAGAAGGGTTTTGCTTGGCAACCTACACGACGTTCCGAATGGCCTGAAGTGCTGTAGAATCACGTCAGTTTGCGGCTGTGCCAAGGAGGCTTAAAAAGAGGGCCGGGTTGGCGCCAAGAGGCTTCTATCAATAATGTGATAAATAATTGGCGCGTTGGACCCAACAGCAAAGCGAGCGACGTCCAGCCAAGAATATAAACTACGAACCTCACACCCTGGCGAAAAGAGAAGAGAGTCTAGACCGGGGCCCAAGACGGCAGGAAAAGAGAGAGCGACAGAAGAAAGGAAGGGGAAGAAAAGCGAGGGCAAAGAATTGGAGGACATACACATGCTCTTGAATCATTATTCACACCAGTCGCCTAGAGACCGACAGCGACACCGGCGAAGGAAGGCAGAGCGTAGCGCGCGCAAGAGGACGGGTAGGGCAGAGCAGAGAGAGGTAGAGGGAGAGAGAGGGAAAGAGAGGAAAAAAAGAGACTCTCTGAAGCAAGATCGACAGTGAGAGAGAGAGCGAGAGCACAGCACAGCACACAACGGCGGCTTGCACCACAACGCTTCACGAGAGTTGTGGAGACGCGGCTCGCAAGCGCAAGCGTTACCGACACTAATGTATGGGCACGGGTAGGCGACAACACGGAGGTTGTAAAGGGCAAGGTTGGCAGACCGAGGAAGCGAAAATGGATGTTCTTGGCAAGTTGGGGAGCAGACTGAGGCGAGATGCCGTACTTAGTAGAAGTAGTAGCGCGCAGTTGCTACGGTAGACCACTACCACGCTATGTAGTAATCCTCGTCGGGAGGATTTCAGCTGATGTGCCATAATACCCAGGGATTTCTAATGGAGAAATGAGGAGCGGGACGGCCAGCTGTGGGTGTGGTGGGGATTCTTACTATGGGCATGGGCAGAGGCCATAATTAGTATACGTCCAGGTATTCCGTATACCGTACGCGATGCTGCTACAGTGCGGACAAGCCCTGCGCTGCACAGTCGCACGCGGCCACACGGCGGATTGTCGGTGTAAGTGCACAGTCTGTTGTTGGTCTGCAGACACGGCGTGTATAATAGGCGGTGGGAGACCTGCCAGGCATCGTGGTTATGTCGTGTCCGGAGTCGTGCGAGTGTGAATCTGTAAGGAGAGTCCTCAATGACGAGGGACCGTTGAGTTGAGATGTCTCAGATCAAAACGAGCCAGCTGTAGCTGTGGCAGAGAACTTTTTCTTCTTTTCTTCTTTTTTTCTTCTTTTTCTTCCCGATCACGCGCGTAGTAGGCCATCTCAGGTAGATGTACCTACGGTTTACAGTCTGTAGCGAGACCCCGGAGGGCACTGTACAATGTACACCGGATCCACGACCACTCACACTCGCACTCGCACTCATCACAATTGTTATGCTGATTACATAGTTAACACATGCCGACACTGCAGTGCCAAGGATCGCTTAGTGCGCTATGCAAAATCGACGGCATTATGCAGGTATGCGCAATTTATGTACATTCTTATGAACAGCAAATGGAATCACATGGCGCTGACACTTGAACCAGAGATTCCGAGTCGAAGCTCATCTGTGCAAATACCTACACCAAGTGCGCCCGTATACTCATATTATTGGGCCATGCCACCGTATCCGTATTCTCACGCCTCCTACCTGTATTCATGCATGGATTGTGGCAGACAGAATCTCAACACATCCGAGCCCGTGATGCGCTTAGAGGGCTTCCAAAGTGGTCCTCAAGTCCTCACACATTCGTCGAGCCGATGTACGAACGAGTATTACTGTGCTATGTCCTAGGTAGTAGGTTATATGCCTCATACCCAACCGTTTCAACCCGTTCCCAATCTTCATCCCTCCAACTAACCCAGTAGTAATACCACGATGATCGGATACATGGCAGCAGCCTAACAGGGTACCGGCCACAGCCTGGCGGACTAAACAGCGTGATGCCCGAGCATCCGAAAGCAGAATACAGCAGGTCATAATCAGCACCCGTATGTGGTCGAGAGAAGTAGGCAGGCAGTGCCGGAAGCGCGGGCTGTCATCGTTAACATCACGCACTGGCCCTGCCGTCCTCGAGAATCGCCTGAGGCGGATCACACAAAATATCCAGAGCTTTAAGACCCCCTT